ACTCTGATCTACCCAAGCTTGGTGAGGGGCTTTATGAATTAACTGCAGCGCCTGGCAGGTTTCTGAACACCTTTGAGGGCTGTCGTTCCAACTAGACCTTGACTATCATGAGATGATAAAATCTCTTAACGGTCTCCCTGGTAAAGGCTAGGCTTCCACGTATCAAGAAAGATCCTGCTGCTTAAAGATCTCCCTGGTGCAGGGCAGCCACAGCAGAAGCAAACGCTGCATTTGGGATCGTGCTTTCCTGCAATCGTGGCTGCCCCAGGAGCAGCGGACATCTGCCGCTAACGGGCTCCACTGCACCTCGGGACACCGGGCAGCAAACGCCCTCAAGTCAGGACAGCTCTGCCCTTGACCAAAAGCATTAAAAGACTGCGCAGCATATGTCCTGGGAAACAGGCAGATGCTTCACGTCATAAAAATGACAGACGGAGACGTAAAAAGCACAAGCCCGCTGACCCGTCACCTCCCCACACCGGACATCTCATCGATCCTGGCTTTCTAGTAAGCATTCCTCGCGGTGGGGTAACAATCCTTCCCCCAGCACGGCGCGAGGCACTCCCCGGCGGTTTGTGTATTTTCTTTTAAACCAGGAATGCAATTCAGCACTACTTTTAGTGACACCATTATCATCGTTGTGCTGAAAGGGACAGCCCAAGCGGCTGGCGAGGATGCGATGGCAGTACTGGTGTCCCGTGAAACACCGGCAGGCCGGGAGCTGCTCTGCCCTGGGACCTCGCCTGCCTCCTGAAGGGTGACGACTGGCATCGTCTCTTCATTGGCGCCTAAAGTGGATGAGTCTGATACAGGTCTTTAAAAAATTCAATTACTCCGGCACATGTTTATTCTGCAAACTGAGTTTGCATATGTCAGTATAAGTGGAAGTGATTACTGCTTGATGAAATGGTAATCTACGTGGGGTTAAAAGACACCCCTGCCTTCCCTTGCCTTTTTATGTGGAATTTCATAGCGTTCACTTAAATGGCTGTTTAATTTTCTATGCAGTTTTGACATCTGTACAAGAAACGTATGCTAAAACAGACCGCCGCTGAAATTTTGTCTACGTCCTTTTAACGTTCCCTGTGCAACTAGTAACTTCAAAGAATGCTGCCTCTGCAGCAAAACTTGTGGAGAAGGAAAACTTGAACAGCTTCTGGTGCAATTGCTTTAACGTAGAATTGACGGCAGTTCTTGCTGCTACCTGTCTCAGGGGCAACCAGCAAGCGATAAACAAAATGTTTCCCCACCAAAATCACAAAAATGATGTTCTCAAGTCACAAAGGGACTGATTTCTAAGCACAGATACACACCAGCCACTAATGGGAATTGAAAGCAACTACAAAAGTATCTGAACAAGTGTGGAGCTCAGTGATTTTAACCAAAGTTGAGCAGTCTCCTATGTAAGTAGGATCACCCTCTAGCTGCTGTATGGTGCCCCATTTATTACCTAAGCCCAGCCCAACTATATGTTCCTGCACTTAACAGCCACAACCAGTACTGGTGGGACAGGATGGGTTGGGCACATGTTAGGATGGGTCAGTGCAAGGGACCGAAGGGAGAGGGAGGGCACAGGACCCTAACAGGCTCCAATCTCAGAGGCGTTCCCGCATCGCAGTGGGAAACGGGGGGATTCTTTGGCCCGAGCGCTTGAGCGGCGTCGGTCAAACGCAAGAGAGCCATGCAGCAGCTCTATGCACAGGACAGGCGGGCGGGAGTGGAAATCCTCCTGGCCAGCTGTGCGGGGAGTCGTGGCGGGGGCCCAGGAGGCGGCAGACACATGGGAACACAGGTGGGCTTCTGGGAGTCTCTGAAGTAGGTATAATAATACTTGCCTGCCTCCAAAGGAAGCAGAAATTCATTCTTCTTCACGAAGCCCTTAAAGATCCTCAGGTAGGAGCTGAAGCGTAAGCGCGCACTAAGCTGACGCGCCGGCGCACGGATGCTACCGGGCGAGTTTGCAAGGCTTGGGCGCCGCTGCACAGCCGCGGCACCGCGGGGGCTCTCTGGGACGTACCCGCGTGCCTCCCCGTCCCTCTCTCCTTGCACCGACTACTTCCAACGCACGCGTGGCGGCGGGCCCAGGTTGCTCAGGGAACCGGTTTGCATTCGCAAGGGCTGCGAGGGGAACGGAGCCGGTCCCACGGCAGGGCGAGGGACTACCTTCAACACTCGCGCAGGCCACGTCAGCCCGCCGGGCCGCGAGAGCTGGGCTGCTTTTGTCCTCTACTGCCGAGCTGCTTGAGCATCACCTCGAGCAGCCAAAGTAATAACTCACAAAGTCTCCACATGTGGTATGAAAAGATTAGACAAGGCTTAAGCAAGCAGGGATTTAAATCCGCACTGATAATACTGTAGTGAAATTATATACCATAAAGGCAGAGAAAAAGGGGTTGTAGTTTACTGAAAAGGAAAAAAAAAAATGGAGGGGAGGTTTAATCCGGGGACAAAAACCTTCATATAAGTGTAGCCCGTATATTCTGGATGATTATTTCAAAAGCTGGAACCTCTGCTGTTGATCTTTTAAACTGATTACTGAGAAAATGTATGCACTTTTAGAAACAGGCACTGACAGACATGAATTTCAGATGTCCTTTTTCATCAGCTCTTTCTTCTTTAACAATGCCAGATTGCATAATACTTCTGATATTTTCAAATAATGTGGAAATTCAATTTATGTGAAGCCATGTAATTTATTGTACAATAGTTACAGCATGTTCTAAAAGACAGCGCACGGAGGCTGACGGCTTTCCAGGACCAAAGAGAGTTGTCTCAAAATGATAAGATAATTTGGTCAACAGGAAGAAATGAAAAGAAAAATGGAAAACAATATTTTCTCCATGCTCAAACTTGACACTTCAGAGAAATTTCGAAGTTATTAAATCAGAAAGATATTCCACATGCCTACACTTTGCGTTAAGCAGGGGAGGCAACTCTGCGCCGTGCCAGCTTCACAGAGTAACAGCAGGGGGTAGCGACGCATGGCTTTCGCTCGCATTTTGGGAAGGGGAACGAATTTTCCAGAATGAAGTACTATTTTACTTCTGTAAACCATACACATACAGACAGACACATATATGCTATATATAGAAATATATAGAAAAACATACATGTGCATTTGTGTTTCTAAACGGTCATACGTTATTGACGCTACCTATGCGTCAATACTCTACCGTACTTTCAAAAGGCTCAGGTTCATAAACTTATTTCCCAGAACTAATTCCCTCAAAAAGGTCTGAAATACCACCTTGTTTATGTTCAAGCATGACAGTTGCATAGCTGCAAGTAAGTGCAGTAAGCAGCACAGTAATCTCAGAGCAGGAGGAACTGAAGACATCTAAAATGCAAGGGATTTCAAAAAAAGCCAAAATCTAAATATCTCAGCTAATGTTTTGCAAATATCACTACTCCTGTGGGTTTGGGTTTGTTTTGGGAATGCTGACAGGAAGCACGTGTCGCTAATTCACGTCTCCTGACAAACAAAGCCACAGACATGAGCTCACCGAATGGCACGAGCTCCAAGGAGCCTCCTCCAAGGGTACCAGGTCCAGCCCTCACTCCGACCGGGGCGGCCAAGCCCCGACTTCCAGCTTCCCGTGCTCTGGATTCAGCCCTCGCTCCAACCTGGGTAGCCAAGCCCCAGCTCCTGGTTTCCCATGCTCATAAGGGAATCTGCCACACCGGCTCCGACCGCCCCAAGAGACATCTTTCCTGTGGCTCTGTTTATCGCAAGCACAAGCTCAGGCCGAACGGTGCAAAAGCCACCTTAAGCCATCCCTTGTGACTTGCCTTATGCAGGACCTGTTTCCAAGCCCCTACTCTACTCATGGAGAGTCATCACCACCTCTGTCACCTGGTTGCAGCAAGTCACCTGCAGCCATGCATCAAGGAGACACACTTCGCGCTCGGTCAGCACAGATGTTACCTTTGCACAATGAGGGGCTTTCAGACAAATACTTCCTTTCAGCTAAAATTCAGCACATGGCAACGTGTGACAACGTCAACCAGTTTTTGTGCATCTGTTAAGCGTTACGTTTTCCACCTCATTACCCCAGAAGAACATATTCTGGCAAGGACTTACTGAAGAAGTGTAAAAGGAGTAGTCTAGCCTCCCACCCTTCACCCCTTTGGTTCTCCACTCCTTACAAACCAGCGGCTGTCAGCATCTCCTCCCCAGACCGAGGAATTAGAGGTAGAGCACCCAGCTCTAGGTAAGTAGGAGCTGCATCCACCCCAGATGCTAAAAGCCAGATATCGTTCCCATTCTGATCAACACTTCTTCTGAATAACTAGTTTTACTGTAGAAGGGCTCAAATAATAATTTTGGTCCTTTCTTTGCAACATCCCTGCTCTAGGACGATGATGTCCCAAGGGAAAAAACTGCCACAAAACAGACTGCAAGAAAACTCCTTTCTGGAGACCAGGAATGCGTGGAAACGTTTCAAATCAATCAAACAAGACATACGGAAAGGAGAAAACGATCTACAGAAGCGTCACAATGCTCTAAAGATTAACAAAATGCATTTACAGTCAAACATCAACTAATATGAAATATTTAAGATGACATAAAAACATGAATAAACCAAAGTGTTCACTCTAGTGGAAAGTTTGTGAGTCTTCCAGTGAGTTTATAATGTGCCTGATTGAAAAACAACTCTTTATTTATTGAAAACAGGTTTTGATGACACATATGCTGCCACATAATAGAAGGTGGGAGGTGTGATCATCAAAGTCAGGATGCAAAATAACAATAACTGTTGTTATTGATGAGGTCAAATGCTCTGTAAGTACCTCCAGGAACAACGAGGAAAAATTACTGCAAATTTAGGAAAGATTATATTTACCAAGCAAAAGGACTGTGCTATAATATTTACTAGCATACGCTATGTGAAAACCTTAAATTAATGCGTTATGATAAAAGGGGAGTTGCTGAAGGTGCAGTTCATCGCTAAAGCTGTTAAAGCCACCCTAGCCAAGACCCCATTACTCCACAGACTTACGCTCGGGCTGTGTGGCAACCTTGACGGGCTGTGAGCTCTCTCCGGGCCCCCACTCGTTGTAGGCCACCACGCGGAAGGTGTAGGTCTCCTCCGGCTTCAGGTTTCCCACCGTCAGCTGAAGCATCCCAGACTGAGACGTGTTGAGCGCCCGCTCCCTATATAAAGAAAAGTCACATAGGAAAATTAACTTAAACATGCATGTAGATCTTAAAGTATTACTTAGTTACTCATTTCACAGTTTGCAAGATATGGTTACTTCTCAAACTTCACCTTGGCTTGTATGATTATAGGGTTTCTGTTAAGTTGATTTTTACTTTAAAAAATTAATTCAGGTAACGAGGTCCACAGGAAATACTGCAAATGCTACAAGAAAGACGTGTATTGTAACACTTCATAAGCAACATCGTACATTGGTTCTCTGCCTTTCTTAATACAGCAGGAAAAGAAAAGTGATGGAAAGAAACAGCTATTCAATAAAGGAAAACATCTGTGATGTACAAAGTGAGACACGTGGCTCATGAACACTTGGCTAACGATGAAAAAGCAGGTCCTGATGTTTCTGCAGACGAAGCTAGGTCCACGTCCCCAGCAGATGCGCCCGCATAAGCCCGGCAGCCCCACTTCGGGCACCTCCCGCCGTCGTGCCAGCAGCGGCGGCCCCCTCACGGGCAGCAGGATCGTAGCATCCTCCCTCTCGGAGGGTGACCTCCTCGCCGTCCTGACACCAGAAGCTCACAGAGCTAAAGGGCTGCTCGCGCTTTGGCACTAGCCTCTCCATATTCGGTGAAGCTCTACAGAGCTGAGAGCAAATAACTAATAAAAGAGATACAGACCCAGAATCATTAACACAGGATTACCCAGGAAAAACACAATCCCTAAACAGTAAAGCAGGGTTTAAATTGGATGAAATCACAGTCATTTCATGGACAATCTGCAAACACAAGTAGGTAAAATTGCTTTTGTAACTGATTTATTATGGATGGCATGTGTAGCTCTTCTCCTTTACCAGAAGCTCTCAGAAAAGCTAACAACAATAATAGAAAAGGTGGATTTCATGCTGTGGAAAAATCATTTAAAACTGAATCAACTAATTGTCAAACCATTTTAGTGCTGCTGCGGATCTGTTCGCTGCACCAGGTACAGCAACAATGCAGAGCACAGAGCTTATCGTTCCTTTGGGGAGCGTTTCCTCAAAACGAAATTTCTCAGGCCACAGCACGGTCTCATCCGATGAACGATGGTGCCTACCATTGCTCCAGCCTTCGGATAATTTATTGAACCAAACTCTGGTGAACATGCTCCAGGGAAAACTATCATACTGTGCCTTATCAGAGGCAAGGGTAGTTTAATACATCTCTTCCAGCAGAAAGACTTTCAGTGACACTTGCCAAAGCAAAAGCGGAGCTGGGAAGACTGCTGCTCCCCAAATGAGGCGACTGGCAGGCAGAGCCTCTGCTCTTCTTAATAGCAGCTGAGCTGGGCTTGACTAGCTCAGCTTGTCTAATTTTATTCTCTTGCCACTTCTCTCTGATTTCTATTTTCAAACTGTAGACGTAGGAACCCAGTTGCATGGCAAACGGCCCCAGTGGATGGATAACAAGCTTACTGGCTCCGAAAGCCGCAGACGAGCTCAGACGTCCAGTAACGTCTGAACTAAACAACGACAAGCTTTTCATAAATCCTCTGAAATGAAGGAACCCGTGGCAGTAACCAAATATACATCCTGACCTCCTTGCTGCAGGATTATGGGACTGTCAGCAACTGTATCTTACTGTATACATCTTTTTTGTCAGTAACAGAAAAGCAATAAGACGACCTCTCAACCTCCAAATAGTGAGAAAGAAGTGAGAAAAGAAAGAAGGAGATGAAGTGACAAAAACAACTCCAGTCAGATCTCTGTTTTAGTAATTCTCTATGACAGTGCTACCTGTGCTGGTATGTATATGCAATTCTGGAAAAGTTGTACGGTTTCTAGCATTCTTTCAGTAAATCTGCTCCAAATACCTAGCAAAGAAAAAAAAAGTGCACATATGCACTGCACACTATGCACTTGAATCGCCTGTGGAGTGTTGTAATTTCCTGAGCTAAGTCAAATCTATGTTTCAGGCTAATGGGGCTAGATCAGTATAACTCTCTTATCTAGCCTGGGATGTAGGTGCCAAGTGCTACAACGAGGTATGAAATTCTGATACAGCCCATTCTGCATCTAACCCAGAAGCTGCAGACCAACGGAAAAAATCAGGCCCATGTCACATAGGCATGAGCCCATCCAGGGCTGCCACTCTCCTTCTCAAACCTACATGGGATGCACCCACAGCCTCATTCCTCACTTGGAATTAGAAACATCAAAGCCAGTGCCCTATAATTAGACTATAATTATGCATCGTTCAAAGCAACCTCAGCAGCTCTAATGCTCATCATGCGCTGGGTGTCAGAGGGGTTGAGTGTCCAGCTGCTTCAGGGCACGTCCATGCTGCGTGATGGGACCCTCGTGCCGGATGCCCTGGGGCCCAGCAGTAGCAGACTCCTGCTGATAAATTCACACCTAAGCACATGGTCCACCTCAGTCCCCATGAGCAGAACAACACGAGTGCTACGCCGCAGCCCCGGCCTCCAGGACACGCATCTGGGCAATCCGGCTCCACAGGAACCAGCAGCTGTGCAAGGACCCGAGGACATCACCGCGGTTGAGCTGATGAACCCCACGAGCCATCATCGGCAGTGCGGGGGCTGCGTCACTCTCAGGCCAGCCAGCTCAGCCTAGACAAAGTTGGGCACATCCTTTCCAAGGTCCTTTTCAAATTAGCTTAGGGAGGCCTAAGGCCAGGCTCACACAATCTGATTGTTTCCAGCTCTGGAGCAGCTTTGAAGAGCGGAAGCTTGGGGCTCTTCCCTCTCTCTGTCTCAGAAAAGTACTAAACAAATTGGGCTTTATATGCTTTACTTCCTGTATTTTGGGGTTTCAAGCTGTCATAGCTAGAGTATCTCCCAAATAAAGTGCTACAAAAGCCAGCATCTGAGCCCAGAAGCATTCTTCAAAACGGGAGACCAGCTCACACTCCTTGTCTTGCACCTCAGGCTAATGGCCTGTGGCTGCCCGGTGCATTGCCTCCAAATGCAGTCGTTTGCCCTGTTTCATTTTCAAATAGCAGTGCAAGATCAAGAAAAGAAAAGAAAAAGAAAAAGAAAAAGAAAAGAAAAGAAAAGAAAAGAAAAGAAAAGAAAAGAAAAGAAAAGAAAAGAAAAGAAAAGAGAAAGAAATTGGCTGTATCAAAAAATAAATGTTTCAAATTTGCCTGAGTAAGGACTGAGCAGTAATCAAGCAAACGCCTCAAGACTGAGACCAACAGAAATAAAACAAAAGGAAAGGGTGACGGGAAAGGTCACACCAGAGCCCACCCAGCCCCATCTTGTGTCCCAGCAGCGGCCAGATATCAGGGGCTCATCGAGGAATAAGAGAAACAGGATGGAAATTCTGTGGTTATTCTTCTGGCACGGTATTCCTGGTTACACGTTTCTGGAATTTCTCGGATACAGGTTGCACTCAGATCATCACAGACACCTTGGTGGATCTACCTCCCACCAAACTGTCACACCCTCACCCTGAACGCATTAACACTTTGGGCTTCTGTGATATCCCGTGGCAATAAATGCCACTATGCTATTGTGAGTTGGGAGAAAAAACAACCCTTTTTTCTTTGTTTTACGCAGGCTGCCTGCCAACGTCACACCCGACAGTGACATCTTCTATGATGCCTTAAACCCTCCAGCTAGCAAGGAAAAAAAAAACCTTCTTTATAAATATAAAAACCTTCTTTATTAAACCTTCTTTATAACCCTACACTTTTCTTTGTAAAATAGATGCCTAAAACATTGCAGATGGGTGTTATAAAATATGTGGCTATTTTTCTCCCTTGAGCTTCAGAGCAGATACCTGAAGTTCAGTGACAGGAACCGTGCCTGTACACAAAGGCCACCACCAGCTTCGACTTACAGCACAGGGATTATCAAGGCACGGATTTAACACCGGGCAGGTTTCCTGCAGAAGCGGCGCTGGGAGCCTCCCCGGTACTGCCATCGCTCACCACCGCGCGCCGGTGACGGCAGCAGGTGAATTTGTGGTCTGAAACAGCCACGGCCAAACCTTCTGCTGAAGTTTTTGGATGCTGCCATAATGTGGGACAAGCAAACAAAGGGCCTGGCATCCCTGACCCAGGCATCTTTACCCTTTGGGTCTTCTCTCTTAAACCAATCCTGGCCATAAAGAATAGTCTAAAAATAAAAGACCTTGACTAAAGTCATTCAGTTATTTGTAAAATGGAAGCTCCGACACGTAATTTCCAGTGAGTGAAGATCATGTTATATCACGGTATCAGCATGTAGAAAAGATAATTACAGTTCCCATATATCTCTTAGGTTTGTAACAAATGCTTTTATAATGTTTCAAACACCTAATTAGTTACTTCAAGTAAGACAAGTCATGTTAATGTTCCTTGCTGTGAAATGAACACTATTAATTTTAAAATGGACGGACTTTTAGTACCACAACTTCTTTCTCTCTTTTTTTTTTTTTTTTTATCTTCCATTATCATTCTCCCATGAAATTGTATAAAGTCCTTGATTGTAATAAGCAAACCTCAAAACAAATGTAAATAGTTCATCTGGGAATGATTTTTCAGAACCTAAGCTAATCCTGAAGATATGCTTTAATCAAATATAAGTTTTTGTATTCAATTAAGTGGTCCCTTGATTAATTTCTTCAGTCTGCATTATGCAGGAAGTTAATCTGCAAGATCTATTGGCTTCTGGTGACCGTCTAGGCACTCACTAATTTGTTATTAGAAAAAGTTCTAGTGAATGCTCAACTGTAAATAGTAAAGGTCCCAATTTTGCAAAAGAATACTGTGCTGATTTCAAGGGGCATTTTTCCTTCTTTTTTTTTCTTTTCTTTTCTTTTCTTTTTTTTTTTTTTTTAAGATGCTGAGCAATCATTTCATTTATTAGGAAAAATATTTGCTAGCAGTCACTTAAAAAAGAAGGATGGCTACTAATCAGAACCCATTATTCAAACCAGCTTGACATTTCAAAGGTTGCAATCAACAACCAAACTGCATTTTTAGTCCTTGTGTCTTGCCTAAAACACTGAACAGGAATACATTACTGCATAAACGCTTCTTTCTTTTTATAAATAAATTTAGTGGATTTTTCATTTTCAATTAGATTTTGAACTTTAAGTTTAAATATAGTAAAGTAAATTCTCATCAAGAGGGCAGAACTACTTTAAAATTATGCCTAGGTGATTAAATATATCTTGGGATTGTTTCTGAGGGGTCGTTTGTGGGGGGGTTTGGAGACATATGCAAGAACAAGAGCAAATGAGCAGATACAAATGATGTCTCTTTCTTTGCGGTAACTAAGATGCTCTACTATCACATAAACACCAAAGGCCTGTAGGAATCTCTCTTCCCTGGTTCAGGAGGAAACCAAGAAGTGAAGGCCGAGGGAGGGAGGAAGACGAAAAGAGGAACAAACAAGTGGTCCAGCAGAGCGGGAACTTTGGTCTCCAAATCAGATCAGGAAACGGAGCGGCACAAAGTAAGACCTACAATAAGGCCACGTTTTAAACGGAGATCAGCCCAAATTATTCCACCACTACCAGATTTTGTAGAACACGTGAAATCTGAACCGGGCAGGGGTTGCTCGGCTACCGAATCGGGCCCACTCGGCAAACGCTCAGAAGGAAAAGGCTCTGCTCTAAGTTACCTGGCAGCCGAGCGTGGGCCCAATCCAGATCCAAACGCTGCCGATTCTGAGCAAAGATGGAAACGGATCCAACGTTCCCACCCGCAGGCCACCTCGAATTTAACAAAAAACGAAGCTTCAGAAGCAGGCGGCCGCGCCAGAGGTCTAAGACCGGCTTCATAAGCTGCGGTAGAAGGCCGACGCGTTTCAGTGAGATGCATCTGCTCCTTCTTTCGGCGATCGTGGCGCGGGGCGACGTGGAGCCGGGGTGGCCGGCCGGCCCCGGAGGCCACCGCTGGAGATCCTCTGCCCGGGCAGGAGAGGTCTCCTCAAGAACCACACACAATATTCCCCCCGCAGCGACCTTGTCCTCTCCCAAGTCCGTAACACGGGCTTCAGGCACCCGCGGCTTCCATGCGCGGAGCTGCACGTTTCCGTTCGAAGAGCAAATCCACACCACACGCTAACAAACCCACACCTGCTGGCGGCCCCCACCCTCGACACCTGCTGCTCCCGCTCCCCTTTTCAAAATCTCGCTTTTCAACCTGAGCTCCCGCCTCCAGCAGAAGCTTTTTGGGGCGCAGGTGTATTTTGCGGCCGCTTATTTCTT